TGATCTTAGAAATCTGGCACTTGAAAAAGGAAACATTTTGTCCAGTTGTCTTGAAAAATTGTCGATGAATAAGCAGCTAAGAGACAAATGGAATGACATAACATCAACAACACACAATGCAACATCAGTGTTTGTTCTGCAAAATATTGCGACCTTTTTCATCAAATCAAAGCAGCAAATAATTCGAGAGAAAAGAGGGCTAAAACCAAATAAGAAGTCCATGGCAATTCGACAACAACTAGAGCATTCTAGTCTCCATACTTCAAAAGCAAAGCAAACAAGTAAAGAAATTTTACAGTTAAGGTCAGAGAATCTGTCAACAGTTCATATCACTAATTTTATGGAATCATTGTCGACCTATTCCCACTCTGTGCAAGAAAAGATTTTGGGGGAACTGACTGGCCAAGAACTTTCTAAAGTATTAAAATCATTGGGGAAGCCGTCACTTTTGGGGAAGAAAAAAAGTCGACAAATTGGATTATTACTTGAACTATAAAAAGTGGTGACATTACAGCACTGTAATCAGTGGGACAATACACAGTTTTGAAAAAAGTAACTTTAGGTCCTTTGAGTTCACAACCAGCAGGAAACGGCTTCAACCCAATAGTTGGCAATATGCCTTAGTATTTTACTCTGTCTAATGCCAGATGATTTTACTTGTCTGTGGTAGGGTAATGCCAATGAATGGGTTAATATACGTAACCCAAGTAGGCAAGTACCAATCAAGAATATTGCTTCCAATGTCATAATTAAAATTTCCATAAAGAAAGTAGTGTTTGCAAAAACAACCAATTAACAATATTGCTGTAGAAAGAAGCCATCGTGAGAGTCGTTATACACTGGATGTGAACAACAATGTATTTTGTGACATAATTATTTCACTGGACAAACCAAAATATGATGGAAGGGCTTTTTGTTTTTCAGTCCTCTCTATTACAATCTAAGAACAACATAATTATGTCCAGAAATTTGTTTGCCACCATTAAACATGATATGCATTTCTTTTATTTTTGACAATCATAACATGAAGGATAATATCTAAAATATTTCTATACAACATCATTTTAATTGTTAATTTGATTGAAATCTTACATACTGTATCCCCATTTGCAATGCAATGACTCTTTACTTCATGTGTAAAACACAAAAATGACAATATTTCATCTCTGAGATGACTATAAATCAGCTACTTACATATTTTCTAAAATGTCTTGAAATTTTCCAGTTTTCAATTCCTGTAAAATCCTGGTCTTTTCCGGGTACTCCGGTTTCCTCCCCACAAGGAATGTTTGAACTGCGCAGGTTAGGATTACTGCCTATAGGCTCAAGACATGGAGTCATGACATTTTTGTGAAAAACATAGTTTTTCTCCAGGTTCCTCGCACACAGAGAATGCTTACCAGCCTATATTCAGTGAGCCGAACTGAATCAGGCTTGTAATCATCGAGCCTGAGGCGACTAATTGTTTTAGCATAATTTCAGTATTGAAAAAGTTTTATTTATAAATGCAACTAATACACATGTTTGTTTTATGAATATAATTTCCCTAAATAATTTGCTTCCACCCGATTTTTGAGAAAAGCAATAACTATAGTTACTACTGTTCTGAGCAGTAGCTATTGCCTCAGAGTTACCGCTGAGGGAGCCAATTGGAATGCTCAAAGGCCATTTTTCAACACTAAAATTATACTAATAATGCTACCAGATGTGCCCTAAAAAGCCTTCAACCCCATAACAATGAGCTGTGTCCTTGTATTTCAGCTAAAGTTCTCAGTTGCAAGTTATGACAATTAGCAGAACCCCACTTAGTACCAGTGCTGGATTATCTAAGGGGCATCATCAACCTCACTAGTGTTTACAGTAACAAGTATATGCAATGTTAAATTGGAATATCTTCACCACTCACACATGCATTTTTAATATAAAATATTCCAACCATACGGCCGCTTAAACAAAACTAACTGAAGCATTTTCTGAGCGGAGGAACTGCAATATGAGTTTTATATGTCCAATCATGGATAATAAATGGATAGGATTCTAGCTGACGTCACAGTCTAAACCTGGTTGCAATCTGTGACGTCACGCGTATTGCCAAAGTCTCGGCATTTTTGTTGTTTCGCTATATTTCCGCTTTAAAAGAGTAATATTGAAGCATAAACTGGTCTAATTGTTTTAAAAACATGCCTAAGCCACGACATGGCATTCAAGGTAAATTTTTTTCGTCTTTGTTTTGTATTTTTTTTACATTTGTAGCTACGAAATTGGCGTCCCCAATTTTAACGAAATTTGGGATGCATTTTTCACTGTTTAGTGCTTGAAATATTTGCTAAAATTGACTGGAAATACTTAGAGATTTCATCGTAGAATGGCATAGTTATATTTATTTGCTCTTTGACTAAAATGTTTAGCTGTATTATTGCTAAACATGCCGTTTTTGAGAATTTGGTTTGCAACTAGGTTTCAACATCCAACCATGCCATCATCCCATTGAAAACATTAGGTCACGTCAGCTAGTTTCCTATCCATTTATTTTATCATCCATGGTCCGATCTAGCCGGAGAAATCGGACTTTTTCACAGGCTAATTCGCATGTTGCGACCGGCCCTAATAAGTTTTGCCCCGGAAAAGGTTAAACCAACACTGTTAGTTTTCCTCTCAAACTTACTGTTACTATGTTGGGCTAGTTTTAAACCAAGCTGTTACCACAAATGTTTGAGCAAAGTGTGATTTTGTAGTGTTGTAATAATAGTGCTTTTACTCTGAAAGAATAAGAAGTTTCAAGAATACATGGCTTGACTAAAGATGTATGGGCCACAGCTTTCGATCTATTATGTTTTGAACACTTTTTCTCTTAGCAAGACCGGAATCCTTTTGTTCTGAGTGACCAAACTCTATATCATCAGTGTTGTACACGTTTGGTTCCTTCTTGGATAGAAGCTTTGTCGATGATCTGAGGGTGCTGCTAATGTTATATCCGTAGGTGTAGGCTGTCATGTTGTTAGTTCCCCCACAAGACTGACGTTGGACAGAGAAAAATGATTCTACCACATCCTGACTAATTCTCTTGGAAATTATGTAATGGTTACCAGGATGCTTCGACTGGAACAGTGGACTCTCAATAAATTGCACCAGAGCCTTAAAGCCATTGATTGAAACCTGTAAAAAAAATGCTATTATATACTTAATTTAATAGTTTAATTTAATTTAATTTAATAGCTTAGCCCTTGTACAAATATTAATTATCAGCACATGGCAGGGAATCCGCAGCAGGCCAAGCCAATTACTGCGGCCACAACTTCAAACTAAAATCACTTAACTAAAGTAGTCTGATTAGCTGGTTTAATGTCGGGTCTGAAATTTTAACTTTTTCTTTTTAGGAGATTCGACAGTCAACAACTAGATAATTCATTAATTACACAAAAATGCACATAACATGAGGAAAGGCTTGGTTGGCAAACTCAAACCAAATTACCAAAACCAAATTTTAGTATCCCATGGACATTGGGATACTGCAAATTTCAGATCCTGCATGCTTCATGATGAAGGGGGGACTCCTCCCTGCTTTTTACGCAAAAAACTAATTTTTGAAAGAGCTTGGAAGTGCAGTACATGAAAGAAGCGATAAATGTGACAGGTAGTTCTGCTGGATCAAATTAAATAACTCAAGCACAGTGATCTACCTTTAGATCAAACATTGTTTGCCAGGAAATAAAGTGTGATGAGACCTCAGATTTAGTTTTGCACAAGAAGTAAAGATCATCTCTCCAATTATCAAAAAATTGCAAAACCATATCAAGATCCTGTATCCTAGAATCTGTAATGGTGGAAAGTGGTTTATTGTTGTTTAGGACATTCCATAACAGATCACAGTGATGGATAAATAACTGGGTAGACTCTGTGGTAACTGGATCAAATGCTTCCATGTCTCTCTGTACTTTGCCATTCAACACTTGAACAGCGAGCTTCACTTTCATTTTGCTTACGCTATCAAGATGGACATGCGAGCTTCTCATATCTGTGGCAAATAGGTGTCTATTTTTGTCTCTTTGGTACACTGAATAAATGTGTTCCCACAATATAGGTTTTGAGTTCAACAACAAATACCCTGGTGTATCTTGGGGAAATAGCTTTGGAGCCACTGTTATAAATGTTGTTGCGAAGCTTTTTCATTAAATGTGGAGGATCAGAAATGAAGAATAAAGGCATATCAGAGAATGGATTCTTTGTTTGACTTACTGTTTCATCAACACAGTTCATCATCATAAATGATCTGTTCTCAGCAGCCCCATCACATCATGTTAGAATTGAGGTGAACCCATAAGCCTGGAGTAAACCAACTCCTTGCCAAAAAGTTCTGTTGAGCATTTGCCCTGAGATTCCTTTAGTTAAAAAATATGCACATGGATACTGAAAATTCGCAAAGACACTTTTGAAATAAAATTGTAAAATGTGTGTGGCCAAGCTATCTTGAATATTTTCAGTACCAGCAACATCTCTACTCTCCAAGTCAACAAAGCCAACTAACTCCCAGGATGATGGGTCAAATAATAAGCCTTCTTTGATCTTAACCTCATCAAAAAACAAACCACCCAACTTGCAACACCAGAAAACCCCTGCTCCTTGAAGTTGTTTCTCATTGCATCAAGGACTGAAGATTGCCATCCTGATTTTGAGCTTGAAAAGTTCTTGTAGTCTGACAAAGTTCTTCCACTAGGTAGTTTTAAAAAACCAGAGTCACGTATATCAGCATACAAGCTATGTGATCTTGAATAGATTCGAAGACACCATTTTATTACCAAAGGGTGCCATCTCATCTGCCTTGATGGAACATTTAAGGCTTTTGCTTGGTCTTTTAAAAGTGTAAGAAAAAACATGTCTGATTCACTCCCAAGATGCTCTTCTAGATGGTTCAAGAGAAGTTTTTTCTTTCCAAATTCTTTACTACAGCCTAACCATTCACAGTTATAATGTCTATCGATGGGTGCTTTATCACTCTGGTCAACTGTTGAAAGATGGAATTCTTTAATATGTTTTAGTAACAATTCCTTGGAAGAAAATGCATCACTCCTATCACAATAATCCCAATAGCATGTATTGTTGTTACATTTTTCAACCTTTTTACTAATGCCATCATACAAATCGTTAAATAGCTTCCTGAATTCTGAGTCAGTTTGGCCACCAACTGTGCTCATATCTTCTTGATATTGCTCGAGACGTTTCATTTGAGTTTGCATTGAATGGAACTTCTTTGCAGTTTCCCGGTTATGTTCAATCAGTTCATCTTTAGACATATAGTCAAACCTTTTGTGCTTAGAAGCTGTTGTGCTAGCTGATTGCTTTTGCCGAGACTTCAGTGTTCTCATGTAATGATTTGCTTCAGAACATGCTTTGCAACAAACATTACCACCATGAACTAGTATTTTGCATTTGGTAGATCTAATAATACACTGTTTATCAATAGAGTGATATTCAACAAACGCCCCAGGTTGTCCATCATGTGTCTTAAAAACTGGCACGCTGGCATTTTCAGGTAACACAGATTGGTAATTTTCATTAGCGTAAACAATTGACTTATCTCATGAATCTGAGGTGGTAAAAGGGTAGGGTCAACATCTACAATTCTTGGATTTCCCATTAAAATGTACTTCCAGTCACCTTCTGCAGTTACGTGACTTCATATTCAACAATAACTGGGCTAGTTCCCATGTAATAAAGATTTACATTCCCTTCATGCATGTTAGCAAGAACTTTCCATTTTGGAAATTTACCAGCAAAGCTGTCAAGACATTTGGTAACTTTGTAGGCAAGGGTTTGAGATAATTTACTCTCATGTAAACATTTCAAACATTGATTTTCAAGATCTTGCTCTAGTTCATGATAATTTTGTTGGTTACACAATCCCGAGGTTAGAAAATAATGTAGAAGGGGTCGATGTTTTATTGAAATTTGTGTTATGCAGTCCAAGTAAAAGTTCCATCTCAACCGTCCTTTATATTTCCCCAGACCCTTAGTCAAATTGTTCATAGCTCGATAGAAATAGTTTTGTATACCGACACAATCAAATCGGACACCACAGACAACATATACAGCTCTTGCTACATCAAGAAATTTTTCTGCAGTATAGCCCTTGACAGAGTTAATACTTTTTGACGACAATGACACATCCAGTAAGGAATAAAGAAGAAGTTCTTCAGGCTGCAATGGAATTTTACCATTGTACGCTAGGGGAGTAGGTTCTGCACTTTTGTACAGACTTTCAAAGTCAGCCACAGGTTGATTTCTTTCGTTGCCGTCTAACAAAACCTCATCGCCTGAACAATTAACATCAGCTGCGGTTGAAATATCAAATTCCTTTGTTCGCTTTTTGGGAGGACGACAAGCAGCACTTCCTCGACGTTTACCAAAATTATCGCACATTTTAACGAAGTGTTTACAAAAATAAATTAATTGTAAAATTTCAAAACTGCATTTGTTTTGCTCGCACATATAAAAATGACGTGATAGCGTAATCGTCATTTTGCTCGCCATTTTTTTAGTCATTCTACAAGCTACGTTCGATACATTCTCCTTCGTCTTCGAATTTTAGACAACGAATGTTAAAAATTAGTTTGAAGAAATCCATCAACTAGAATTCGAAATAGATTAGCAGATAATGAAAGACATTCCTCTCGACTTGAAGTGTACAAATTTGCTAGGTCGGGAAAGCTTTTTCACACTGAACGCGCGTCAGTTTAAATGAAGGAATTGATTTTGTCAAAATATTAAACGTGCATGAAAAACGTTTACAATTTTTTTGTTACCTTTACACAGTTCAGAAATTGTTGAAAACTGATTGATATTTTCATAAACACTTGATAAATGTTGACGGTAGCCATTTTAATCAGTTAATTTAACCACGCGATGCATCCAAAGATGAAAAAATATAGCGAAAATAGTGCATGAATTCAGAGCAAAGCATCTAAAAAAACATCAACTCCGATTTCTACGAGTATCTCCATATACGAACAGACAATAATAAGCTCAACATACCTGAAATAATATTACGTGGGGCAGCAAGTTGACTTGTCATATTTCCTTGTTGAACTTCTTGTCTCCTCATACCCCTACTTTTGACGACGTTTATCCACAATAAAACAAACGTAAGAAGAGTCCGGCGAACACAAAAAGCTCTTAGACGTTAAAGGAAACATTGCTTCGAAAGTATCGGTTCAAAAACCCTTGAAACTTCTCATAAAACCGGAGTAAAAGCAGCACTAAGACAAAACTACAAAATCACGCTCCTTCCCAAATTCGTTCAAAACACACGCTCGCGCCAGTCCTCTGCCGCATCACACGTCGATCAGCGCTTTGACAGCGCGTTTCGCCGCCCGGTATATAAGCGCCCTGATATAAGGTTGGCAACTATATCTCAACTGACGAAAATACCACTTCGGCAAAACGCAAAATACCTCGTACACGTAAAACAAACATGGTAAAAAATTATACCACATTGAACTCTGATATTTTTTCTACATACCCGCATAAAAATTTTGTTTTCAAGACTGCAAGAAAGATGAAAAATTTCCACAAACGTTTCATGGTCTGATGAAAATTTTGTTGTACCTATGCGGGATGCTAGAGGTTATTTCATTCGTCATATTTTCAAAAAAATTATGCGATTCAATTGGTTGAAAAAATAAACAGTTTGTGACGTATTTATAGTAAAAATTTGGTTTCAGGGGGGGTTGAACCAAAGGTTGAACTACAACAGGAAGACTGCTAAAATACAAGAGCGATTTTTTTTCGAAGATGAAATGGTGGATTTTAAAAACTTTTTACATCCATCCATAACTTTTATCTACAGCAAAACAACCAGGCAACTTTTGGCTACATGTACACGAAATGTCATGAAATTCTGAGCAATAATGGCGAAGAAAATGTTCTAACAAGACATAGCGATATGCGAACACGCTTCGTTGGAACCTCAGAAAAGTTATAGGTATGAATTTATTTTATAGCGTTTTTAATACTGTATCTTGGAACAATAGGTTGTATCATTTATCTTTCCCTAGTAATCAAGTGTTCAGTATTTATAGGTGTTTGTACTGGATCTCTAGTTATAATTTTAAATAGCTCATATAGCAAGAATATTTCGAATTGAATTCTGTAAAACTGTTTTTATTTCACTATAAAACTGTTTTTATATCAAAACAAATTTGCATTTTGCTCTGTTTTATTTATTATCAGTTTAAAGACAGCATTAACAGTAATAGCTATACAGTCACTAGTTTTTGTTAAAAGCTAACGTGTACTTTAATAAAGTTTAAACTAGGGAGATGTTTAGGCTTTTGTTTATATAGAATACATATTAAACTTTCAGAACTTTGATACGAGGTTGTTTATATATAAATGCAAAATTCCATGCTGGGGTATAATAATAATAATAATAATAATAAAATCTTTATTTATACTGATAAAAAAGACCGTTCAGTCAATTACATAGATTGGCTGGTATCAATCGGTGATCAGTGTATAACAAGTATATATACAATAACATAAGTGCGTAACAGTGCATAAATAAGGTTATATAATGTAAACACTAGTACTGTTTACACCTGCAACCTCCGCTGCGATTCCAGGCGCGACACTCCTCCGATGCATGCGAACGAGCAGATGAGCAATGAATGTTCTGAGTACATGTACCTTCATCTAAACATTCACAACTCATCCACCCCCTCACACCCACCAAGAGAAAAAGACCGCACCCAAAATCGCAGCAAAAATTGCAAGTGTCAACAGGCCTTAAGATGTCTAAAATTACAAACTACAATTGTGCGTAACAGCATCCATGTTTATCAAGTGTTTAAACACTTCATTCTTGAACCGCACAAGTGTTTTTAATTCTCGTATTTCTGTCGGTAAAGAATTCCAATCTTTGGCAGCCGAGAATCTGAATGAGGTCTCGCCACATCTAGTTCTTACTGGCGGTAAATCTAGCAATGTTGGATCTCTAAGAGATCGACAGTGCATTTGTGATCGTCTTACTAGATAGCCTATCAACTGCTTCGGGCAGTTTATGTTGTTTACGATCTTATAAACGTATTGCAATCTTATAAGACGACGTCTTCCGTACAGTGACAAAAGGTGTAATTTAGCACGCATCTCCTGAGTACATGTCTTACGGTTCGCGTGTAACACTATCCGCATCGCTTGATTTTGTAATCGTTCTAAGCTTTGGACGTTTCTCTTTCCGCATTCAGCCCATATGACGCATCCGTAATCTAACAGGGGAAGCACAG